CACACGCCACCAGCGAGTGGCGTGATCAGGAATCACGCCCGGCTGCATTTGCCTCTCCGGTGCTGATGTGTACGCAACAGGCACTAATTAAAGGCCGAGTAGACCTAGGCGAGGCACCAAACCGGTTGGGATATTCGCCAATGATTGTTTGGTAACCATGAGCGAGAATCTAACTCGGGTCGCTAAGCACTGCGCCACCGCTCCCCACACTCGCGCACAACCGCACACACCTGTGCGTTGTACACGCAGGCGGCGTAGGCGCTGTGCTTGTAATGTGTGTACACGTGTCATCACGAGGTTTGCAACATGTGATCACGTGGTTACGATGCGTGTACAAGCTGACACTTGGACACCCGCGCAAACCCCATCTAAATATTCCAATATATTAAAATATATACATTTAATTCACATCTGATTTGAAGCTTTCGTGACTGCAGCAATCCATACTCTTTGGTTATTCCGGTAAAGTCACGTAGGTAGAAAAATTATAGATCACGACGTCGTGAGCTATTATTTAATTCATGTGTTTATAAAAATTATTGTATTCAACAAGGTGCTGCTGAACAAAATCTACTCCCACAAGGCCATGTGGGCTACTGGGATGGGTAAAACAAATATGCTTTTATTTTAGATGTGCAGAGACATGTATGTGTGTGTCGGATGGGATATACTCCGCTCATCTATATCGCAATGTAGATTATTTAGCGTAATTATTATACCCCTTATTCTCCCTGCAGCGATGCCAGAATGTTGTGTATCTTAACACACGTACGCATTCGCGAGCGGTGGCGCAGTGGTTAGCGCACTCGTCTATACGAACCCGGCAACTACGGTTCCATATCCCGGCCACGGTTATTATCAGTGGCGAGTGATATGTGAACGGTCCTAAGCCTTCATTACAGTAATTCGCACTGACCGGTATTGTGAAGTATCGTTAAACGACCAACATGGTGATAGACAATGATTAACATTCACTTAGACTCAACACGGATGTATATTCAACACAACGGAAGCATATTTGTCACCAATTAGGCATTTACGCCACAACGGCGCCGGTGCTAGTGTTAGAGGTTGGACGAGGAGTGAATATGCACACACATGCACATACACAGGCAAAGACCCCCCGTCTAGGCATTCAGACTGCGAGGGTAAGTGCTGTTATTGAGCAGCTATCAAGGTCTCCACCGCGTAACGCAGGACGCGGTAACGCGCTCGACCGCCAGTGCTAATGTTCACACACCCGCGTCAGCTCATCGTTTAAGGCTGAGTGGACCTACACGAAGTGTGACAGAAACGATTGAGACGTTAATCGAGACTGATTCTCGCTGTGACCCGGAATTGAACTCAGGAAGCCGGCTTCGTCGCGCACTTTGTAAACCACTGCACTACCGTCTCCCTGCGCCAACAAACGCACCCGCACACATCGACACAAATAAACAAACGTAACGGCTGCCGACAGGCGCGTGTGCCAGGCTAGGTGCCCTTTAATAGACACTCTACGCACGCGTGTTTGCCCGGGGCTCGTAGAGACGCGCACGGCTACAATTTGTCAGATTTTCGGTAAAATCGCCGCGATGCCTCCGTCGCCTCCCGCAGCGGCGCGCACCCCCGCGACCCCCACGACCCCCGCGACCCCCACGACGGGGGTCTCGAGGTCTCTTCCCGCTACCCCAGCGGCAGACCCCCATGAGAGACGCCCCCCACCCCGCTCGGCCAAACGCCCACAATCATCCGCACGTTCGCCCTGCGCACCGCGCCCTGCATCCAGCGCCCTGCACCCAGCTCCTCGCACCCAGCGCTCTGCGCCCTGCACCCAGCGCCCCGCACCCAGCGCCTTGCACCCAGCTCCTCGCACCCAGCACCCTGCACCCAGCGCCCTGCACCCAGCTCCTCGCACCCAGCGCCCTGCACCCAGCGCCTTGCACCCAGCACCCTGCACCCAGCTCCTCGCACCCAGCGCTCTGCGCCCAGCGCCCTGCACCCAGCGCCTTGCACCCAGCTCCTCGCACCCAGCACCCTGCACCCAGCGCCCTGCACCCAGCTCCTCGCACCCAGCGCCTTGCACCCAGCTCCTCGCACCCAGCACCCTGCACCCAGCGCCCTGCACCCAGCTCCTCGCACCCAGCGCCCTGCACCCAGCGCCTTGCACCCAGCGCCTTGCACCCAGCACCCTGCACCCAGCTCCTCGCACCCAGCACGCTGCACCCAGCTCCTTGCACCCAGCGCCTTGCACCCAGCTCCTCGCACCCAGCGCCCCGCACCCAGCTCCTCGCACCCAGCGCCCTGCACCCAGCGCCCTGCACCCAGCGCCCCGCACCCAGCTCCTCGCACCTAGCGCCCTGCACCCAGCGCCATGCACCCAGCGCCCTGCACCCTGCACCCAGCGCCCTGCACCCAGCGCCCTGCACCCGGCTGATTGCTCCGGGCGGGCGGGCGGGGCGCCGCGTATCGCCGCGCCGCTATCTGCGCGGCCGCGCCGTGTAATCCGCGCGGATTGTCTCTGTGTGCGCAGCAAACTTCGCGTTTGTTCTGCGCCTCACACTTGAGATAAGAAGTCGGAGTAGAGGCCGCGGCGCGGGGGTCTGAATGGCTGAGCCGGGAGGCGCCGCCTTAATCTGCTTTCAAATGCGAACCCCCCTCCCCTCAGCCTCCCCCTCCCCTATCTCGATCCCTTTGTGCGCCGAGTCCTGTACTTGGTGGTGAGAGTATTTACGGCCACTAAAACGAGCCTCGACATCGGTCACCTCCTCCTGCTCCTCAATATTCCGGAGGTCGGTGCAGCGGATCGCCGGGTCCCCGGTTCCCGCATCCCCCCCCCGCCCGCTCCCCAACCCCACACCGCCACACATGTCCACTCACAATCGTGTTCACTCACAATCGTGTTTACTCACAATCGTGTTTACTCACAATTAGGGAGGGAGGCGCCGCGAGCGGCACTCGAGCCACTCGCCCCACCCCGCCGGTCCCCGCCGGCCTCCTCCTTATCTCCTCGTGCCCCCCCCTCCTCCTCCCCCCCGCAGCGTCCCCGTCCCCTCCTCGGTGGAGGAGGTCGTGGCGCTCCTCTCCTGCGGAGCGCGGCGCGCGGCGCGGCCCGGCGCCACAACTCACCGCGCCGCGCTCACCTGCCGAAGGCTGGGGGGGGGGGGGAAGAGCTGTTAATCCCTCTCCCCTCCCTCTCCCCTCCCTCCCGCCGCCGCTCGACTCCCAGACGCCGCGTCGCCGCCGCGGGTCGCGTCCACTCGTCCCCGCTCCGCCTCGGTCCGGTCACGCAGCGCTAATGACGACGTCACGTTCATTATTTTTCCGAACCCCTTTTTTGTTGTTAAATTAAGCGGCCAGATTAAGGGCATTGTGAGCGCCGCGGCGCCGTGGATTACGCGGCGAGCGTCGCGGGCAGCGTCCTCCACCCTCTCCTCCGCGGCGACAACATCTCTGGGGCACACAAAGCACCCTCGTTGCCTCTCCCACGCTGCCGCCGCCGCCTCACGGCCACTTGCAGCGCGGCGGGCACTGCGCGAGACGCGAGGCCCCGAGAGCGAAGTGACATGGATTCTCGTCCCGCAGCTGCCGCCGCTGCTGCGTTTTGACCGAGTCCGCCAACTTTGAATGTCGAGGTTGGATTCCCGTTGGCCAAATTAGCGAAACACCCCTCCCCGCTACTCCGGACCTCGCGGGATTCGAGGAGAGGACCCCCCCCCCCCATTATCCCCGAGCGTGCGGGGGCCCGGGGCCCCGGGGCCGCGACGCGGGGCTGAGTGGCCCCCGCCATTGTCCGGGCAGCAGCCGCGCTGGCGCCGTGCGGGCGAGTGGTCTGTCGGAGCGGCTAATCACTTTACCCGCCGCGGCCTCTCCCACACCGCCCCCACCGCCATCCCCCTGCGAGCCCCCGCCCCTCATCCCTCATCCTCCCCCCTCTCTCTCGCTCTCTCGTCCCCTCCCCACCCTCGTTCATCCTACTGTGGTCCCGGCCGCCCATCCGTAACCCTGTTAGCACGGCCGGCACCCTCATCCTCCTCCTCCTCCTGCTGCAGCCCTAATCCCCGCGCCGCGCTTCTTTCAGCGCCGCGCCGAAGGAGACACGGGAGGGAGGGGGGGTGACCCCACGCTCGGACAGCGCAGTGGCCCATGAACCCCGCGGGGGGAAGGGATGGGGGTGGGGGCGATGACCTCTCCTCTTCGCCGGGGCGCGGCGCTGCTTATTAAAGGGCGCTAATAACGACGCGAGGCGCTGGACAGGGAGCGCGGGGGGCGGGGGAGCGACGGCGCCGTGATGAACACGCACGGAGGAGCGCGGAGCGCGACGCCGCGCCATGTAAACACGAGCGCGTACCGCGCGTCTCGCCGTGGCACGAACCCGGCGTCAAATCCATCGCGATGACGGTGGGGTGGGGGGAGTAGGGGGGGGAGTTGTGTGGGGAGGAGTAGGGGAGGGGCAGGGGGAGGAGGGGGGGGGGGAGCGTCCTGGGAGCGCGGCGGGATGAGAGGCAGCGGCGCCCCGCGCGTCCTGGGCGCCGCGACACCAACACGGCCCCGAGCACGCGCGGGGGGGGGGGCGGCCGCGATGAAGGCGCCGCCGAGGGGGCCGAGGGGGGGGGGGCGCCGGAACGGGGAGAAAGGGGGCCCTGTGGGGGGTTGGTGGGGGGTCGGGGACAGCGCAGGTGGGCAGTGGGTAGGGACGATGGGCGGGGGAGGGGGATAGGTCACCTGCACGGAGTGGGAGGCGGTAGGTGGTGGGGGTGGGGGGGCGCTATTGGCTGCGAAGCGCCTCGTCCTCGTCGCGGGGGCCGTGCGGGAGCCGCGGGACACCCGCGGCTCCCCTCCCCCTCCCTCACTTCCCCCTCCCTCCCCCCTCCCTCTCTCCTCCCCCTCGTCGAGTTTTTTTTGTTTCTCGCGCTGGGGAAGTCGCGGCGACACCTCGGCCGGCCGCGCGGTGACGCAACGCGCGCGGCGCCGCCGCGTCAAGGCACCACGCCCCGCGCCGCTCGCCATTGGCCCGGGACGCGTCAACGAGCCAATCAGCGCCACTCAATCAGCGAGCGCACAAAGACGAGGGGGGAGCGGGGGGCGACGCGCGGCGCCGCGACTTCGCGCAGCGGCAGAGATCGGCGCTGCGCTCGTGGCCGGACGCAGCAGCAGCAGCAGCTCGCAGCGCCGTCCCCTGCCCGCAGCCCCTCCGCGGAGTCCTCCTCCCTCCCTCCCAAGCGACCGCGCCAAGCCCGGGTGGGCGCGCTTCCATCTCTTCTCGCCACCGCCGCCGATCCTCCTCCTCCTCGTCCTCCTCCTCCTCGTCCTGCATCTCCTCCTCCGCCGCTCCTCCCGTCAGCAGCTGCGACCCCCCGCACGACTTTACCGAGCGAGCGACCCCGCCGCGGACGAGGGCGCGCGCGGCCTCCTTCTCGTGCGTCCCGATGCGAGAGCCGGCCCTAGCTGCGAGCGGAATGGCCTACCACCCCTTCTTCCCCGGCCGGCCGAGCGACCTCCCCATGAGCGCCCTGCTCGCCGCGCAGCCCCCGTTCTTCCCCGCGCTCGCGCTGCCGCCGGGACTCTCCGGCTCCCTCGGGAAGGGGATGCCCGGCGACCCCGGCCTCTCGGTGTCCGCGCTGAGTCACCAGGCCGCGCACCTGCGCCACCTCAAGGGGCTGGAGGCGGAGGAGGCCGTGGAAGATGACCCCAAAGTGACGCTCGAAGCCAAAGATCTGTGGGACCAGTTCCACAAGTTCGGCACGGAGATGGTCATCACCAAGTCCGGCAGGTGAGCGCCGAGACACGGGGTGCGAGAGGGGGGGTCCCAGCGGGAGGGGATTCCGGGGTCCCTCCCCAGCGGGAGGGATGCGGGGCCCGGGGTCCCGCGACCGAGTTCGAGAGACCCCGCGAGGCCCCCACGCCTCCTCCTCCTCGTCGTGTGCGCACCTTCGCTGACTCCGACATAGCGGACTCGGACAGAGCGTGTACGCAAGTGTACGCACGTCGCTGTAACGGGCGTACACTATTGCAATGTGTACACACTGTGTGTGTACACACACACAGTGTGTACACGCAGTGTGCACACGCCATGCATCGCGTACGACGACGCGTATACGCATCACCGTTGCATCACGTACACGTTGTCACAGCGTGTGCGCAATCGCACGCGCGTACACCGCGGCGGGGTGCAGGCGTCGTCCACCGCAGTGTACACAGGCAGAGTCCCCGTCGCGGCGTGCACGGACAGACGTGCGGGCACCATCACGAGGTGGCGTGCGACCCGCGCAGTGCAAACTCCGCGGGGCCCCAGGAGCTGTGCGGGACGTGGGGCCCAGCACGGACCTCAAGACCAGCGCATTTATTTTGCTCCGAGCGAGAGTCGCCGTCGCGCGCGCGGGAGGCTCCTTCCCGTCTCTCGCGGCCCTTCCACGCGGAGCCGCCGCGCCTCGGGCGCAGAAACGGCGGCGGTGACAGCACCGCCGAGCCGGCTACGTCGCGCGCCTCTGCCGCGGTCTCCTCGCGGTGTCGTCTCGCAGTCTCTCCCCGCGGTGTCTCCGGCGCATTCCGGAGCGAGGAGGGTCGTTCGGCGTTCGAGTGAGAAAATCTCGAGAGCGACTCTCCTCTCTCCTCCCCTCGTCCCCCCCCCCTCTCCTTCCCTCGCCTCTCCGCACATTTCCTCTCCTCCCGCGCCGCACAGCTCAGAGCGACCACTGGGGCCGATGTTGCAAACCGAGACTCGACCGGCTGAGATCGCGGCTCGCAGGCAGCACAGGGGTCGACAATCGGGATCGCACGGGGGTGGATTTGAGCGAGAGTGGTTTCGTTTGTAGCTTACACGAGGAGAGAGAACGAGGGGGGGGGGTCTCACAACCCCGAGCGAGACGCGGCCTCGCGAAGCGCCCCCATGACGCAGGCCTGGCCGGCTTCTCCGAGTTCGCTCTCCCACAACAGTTCGCACTCTGCCCGCCTCCGCCGCGCGTCGCTCGCGTGCGAATCGTGCAGTTGGGGGGGGGGCTTGAGAGAGAACTCGCGGGGAGAGGACGCGACGGAGACGCCAGGAAGTCGGCCGATGGTCTTCGCGGGTGTTTGTCGGCCGGGCGCGGTGCCGGCCACCCCCTCGTGTGCCGTCCCGACTCTCGTCGGCGCTCGCGAACAGCACTTGCCCCCACAGGCTACACGGCAGATATGTCTGTGTGTGTATGTATATATGTACAACTCGGTGCGCGATGCACGCGTGCACGCGCACATGCTTGCCCGAAAAACAAATGCGGATCTCGTTAAGATTAATTAGAACATTTGCACGTCGATGTTTTGTGGACAGCGAAACATCGCGTCGCGTTTGCCGAAATGTCGGAAGGACTCGTGGGTCGAGCGACAGCCGCGCGGACCCCCGACACAAAGACAAAGATCCCCCGTGTAGCCTTCACAGACTGTTGGGGCAGGTGCTGTTAGCGAGCACCTACGAAGGCCACATCGGCACGCGAGGGGGTGAGTGGCCAGCACCACGACCGGCCGCCTTTGTCTCCCTATTGACGATGTTTATATATCGCACCAGGCACTCATTGTAGACATATACATAGACACGCGTGAACTCTGCTCATCCTACACACACGAACGCACGATTGTGCTCGTGTCAATCGTTGGTGTTTTCGCTGCTGATAGTTTGTGTGTACACACGCATTCTGTGTACACCGCGTGTGTGTGTGTCTACACACACACACGCGGTGTGTGTACACACACACACGTGGTTGTCTGTCTCTGCGTGGGGCTGGCTTGAGTGTTTGATAGTCCACGACGTTTGCACACGCGTGTACGCACGAACGCGCAGTCGTGTGTGTGTATATGTGCGTAGAGCGTGTATAGACATTGGCTATATGTGTATATTCACTCTTATGTACACGCATTCGTGCGTACGTACTCATAAGACCTCACGTGCACATTTATAATTCAACCAGCAACTGAACACGGAGAAGGTAGCTGGATATCTTCACACACACATACGTATTCATGTGTGCGCTTGTATATATATTTGTATTTGTACTCATTTTATCGTACAAACTTTTCATTGCGCACATGTTTGCATCTTAATAATCACGCACACGTCCGACAATATAAATCGAACCCGTGTACTCATCAGCCCGTGTACGCTGCATCCCGTGTACTCGTCATCCCGTGTACTCGCCAGCCCGTGTACTCGTCATCCCGTGTACTCTGCATCCCGTGTACTCGCCAGCCCGTGTACTCTGCATCCCGTGTACTCGCCAGCCGGTGTACTCTGCATCCCGTGTACTCTGCATCCCGTGTACTCGTCATCTCGTGTATTGGTGTCGGCGCGACTCTTGATCAACGAGGCCACGGTAACCGCGCGGGTTTTCTGTGCGCGGCTCCGCGCGAGCAGCAATAATAGCACGCGACACCGGCGATGTCTCATTTGATTATGGGACATCAGCTGTGTCTGATTATGAAAGGGCATAGCTGCGTCTGATTGCGACTCGTGTGTCTGATGATTCGTGTTTATTTAAAGGGCACACGGCTGTGCCTGGTTATTCGGGGGCGCCGTCTGCGTCTCGCTGTTGCAGCAGCAGACGACACCGTCTTGTCATCGCCGACTCGCCGTCTCCCCCCCCCCCCCCCCCGCAGGAGAATGTTCCCGCCCTTCAAGGTGCGAGTGTCGGGTCTGGACAAGAAGGCCAAGTACATCCTGCTCATGGACATCGTGGCGGCCGACGATTGCCGCTACAAGTTCCACAACTCTCGCTGGATGGTGGCGGGCAAGGCCGACCCCGAGATGCCCAAGCGCATGTACATCCACCCCGACAGCCCGGCCACGGGCGAACAGTGGATGTCCAAGGTGGTCTCGTTCCACAAGCTGAAGCTCACCAACAACATCTCGGACAAGCACGGCTTCGTGAGTACACCACCACCACCACCCGCCCCCCGTCGCGCGCACATGGGCCACTTAGGGTGTTCAGGTGGCTGTGGAAAACAGGCACCTTTAGTCTATGTATACTTACAGACATGTTATGTAAGTACGTGGTTTATGTTGACTTGTACTGCCTTACAAGGGAACGTCTATGCGTTATAAATAAGGTACATAGTCCGAAACGTCATCTATATATGTTATTGACACTTGATATTATTAGTATGATAGTTAAAGTGTTTAGATGTTTTAAATATATATTTGTTTTGATTGTGCACCAAAGCCAACGCAGCAGCTGCAAGAGATCATCAGTCTCACACAAACGCACCGTGAGCACAGAGACTTTAGTCCGGACACAACGCAGCACTTCGACGCTTAGCACAGAAGGCGCCGTGAGCCTCGACCACGCACAGACGCGCGCATCTTCACACGCGAATCTTCGCACGCGAATCTTCACACGCGAATCTTCACACCGACATCTTTGACACAGACACGACGGCCAGGGCGCACTGCGCCAGACCCTGCCTCGTGTCTGCAGGGTCCACAGACGTCCCTGGAGACACGATGCACAGACACGATGGGTAGTCGATAACTTCACAAACAAACTGCGTGTCTAACTGGACACGAGCTAACGGCAGCTACCTACAGGCTGTCGGACGCAGCCGACAACAAGCCTGACAGCCGCACACTGTAACACGGCTACACTGACACATGGGACCCGTCACGCAAACTTGACAACTACCTACACCCGTCACACAGCCTGGCAGCGACACATTTCACACACACTTGACAGCTACACCCGTAGCACAGACTGTACACACATACAGACAAAGATCCCCCATATAACGTTTGTATTCGCTAACAGCAAGGGCAAGTGCTTTTAGCGAGCACCTATGAAGGCCGCACCATTCCCCACGTCTCCACCATCCGCTCAAGTCTCATGATTCATGTGCTACACGTGTTTACCATATATATGTTACATGACCCACGTATGTTGTATGCATATATAGATGCTAGTGAACGTTGTTCTTGTTGCGATAGCCAAGCGCTCAGGTGTAGCCCCGCCAGGTAAGCCACGTGATGATGGTCGTTCCGATAGGCCGAGTGTGTGGGTGCGGAGTCTGGGGCGGCAAGGGGGGGGAGTGTACAACACGCGTGCGTGTGTGTGTGTGTCCGTGTGTACACGAGTGTGTGTGTCCGTGTGTACACGAGTGTGTGTACAACACGTGTGTGTTCGTGTGTACACGCGTGTGTGTGTTCGTGTGTACACGCGTGTATGTGTGTGTGTACAACACCTGCGTGTGTGTTTGTGTATAACACGCGTGTGTGTGTGTACACTAATGTAGAAAGACAAACATCTCCCTATATCCTTCAACAGAATGTCGGGACAAGTGCTGTTACCGAGTAGCACCCATGAAGGCCGGGGCCGGCATACGCGTGTGTGCGTGTATGTATAACACGTGTGTGTGTGTATAACACGCGTGGTGGGCGGATTGGCCAGCACCACCACCACCCGCTCGTATTTGTCTCCCTAGTGGCGATGTTTACATATCGCGCCAGATGCTCGTTTTAGGCTGAGTCAACCTAGGGGAGGCCCCAGGACTGGTTCCGATGAATCGTCACTGATATTGGTGGACGTGAACGGGAATCGAATTCGGGTCTCTCTCTGCTGAGTTCATAGCGAAGCCACACACACACTCGTGTACACACGGACACACACTCATGTACACACGGACACACTCGTGTACACACGGACACACACTCGTGTACACACGGACACACACTCGTGTACACGCGGACACACATACACACACGCGATCCTTTGCACGCGCGCGTGTGTGCATGTGTGCACGACCGCGTGTACACACACGCACAGAGCTGCAAGTGTGCACAGACAACGTGCACGCGCTGGAGTGTAATAAATAAATGACGGTGCAAATGCATTCACGTATGAATTAAATAGTGATCACATGGAGGCATTCGTGTGTGTTATATACGTGTGTGTGTGTGATACACGTGTGTGTGTGTTACACACACGTGTGTGTGTGATACACGTGTGTGTATGTGTTATACATGTGTGTGTTATACATGTGTGTGTGATACACGTTTGTGTGTTGTAGTGAAGTGTTCGTTAGCGCGATTCCCGCTCGCGGTCACTGTCGGTGACGAATATCTGAACCGGTTCTGGGAAAATGTCTCCACTAGGTCGACTCAGAGTTAAATGGGTACCTGGCGTGGTGTGTAAACATCACCGGGGAGACAAAGGTGGCCGGGGCTTGTGTTGTCCACACACCCCCTTGTGTATGCCCCGTATATGCCGTGCCAGGTCTGTGCGCTCGCTAACAGCACTTGCCCCAGTAGTCCGTAGAAGGCTATATGGGGGACCTGTGTATATATGCACGTGTGTCAACTCGGCCTCAAACGAGTACCTGGTGCGGAGCGTAAACATCAGCACTGGGGAGACAAAGGCGGCCGGGCGAGGGGTTGGCCACACAACCTCCTCCCTCTGTGCGCGATGCCGCATTTTGATCGGGACTCGCTATCAGCACTTGCCCGCAACTGCCTGTAAGGCTACAGGGGTACCTCTGTCTTTGTGCGTGCCAGTCGACTCCGACTGCGTGGTTATTTATTGTTGTGTGAGTGTACGCGCCACGGTGTTTGTTTTTTGTGCGCCTGTATGGACGAATGTGCGTGCATTCACACCCAGAAACGTGTGCCATTATCTGTGGACGTGCGTGTTTACGATTGTGTGTCTTTGTGTGTTGTGTGAGCGTGTGTATGTTATTTAGTGCTCGTATTTGCTGTACTGTATATATGTGTGTGTGCATGCATTTGATCAAATGCACGTGTATATCATATGCTGTGTACGCGTGTGTGTGATGTGTGTGCGTGTGCCGTTGTGTATATTTGTGTATGGTGTGTGTGTGGTGTGTGTATGGTATGTGCGTGTGTGTCGTGTCGCGGTTAGCGCGCTGCGAGACGAACCCAGCGACCCGGGTTCGATTCCCGCTTACACCAGCGACGATTATCTGAAGCAGTCCTGGGCCTCCCCTAGGTCGACTCAGCCTCAACTGAGTACGTGGCGCGATGTGTAAACATCGCCACTAGAAAGACAAAGGTGGCCGTGAGTGATGCGGGCCACCCACCCCCTCGCGTGCCGTACCGGTCTTCAAAGGTGCTCGAATGTAACACTTAGCCCAACAGTCTGTTAAGGGGGTATTTGTGTTTCTTGTGTGTGTTATATCAGTGTTTCTATTTATGTACAACCACATACACGTACATCTGTTGTGTGCACATGCATTGGTGGTGTATAGCTGTGTCTATGTATTGGTACACACGTGTCTCTAGTTACGTGTGCACACGTGTTGATGTGTACACACGCGTGCGCGCTCGTAGCTGTGTACACGTGTATGTACGTGTGTGCGTTTATGGGAGCGGTGGCGCAGTGGTTAGCGCGCTGGCGCTAGAGCCCGGCGACCCGAGTTCGATTTCCGCTCACGGCCAAAAAGTTGTCCTGTGCCTCCCCTAGGTTGACTCAACCTCAAATAAGTACTGTACCTAATAGACATCGCCACTAGGGATACAACAGCGGCCGGGCTTGGTGCTACCCCCTAACAGCACTTGCCCCAACAGGCTGGTAAAGGCTTTACGGGGGATCTTTGTCTTTGCACCCAAAGCGTGTGTTCTCGTGCTGCCGCTGCCTTTGCGAGGCGGCATCGCGGCCGCGGGCCCCGAAACGGGGCCCAGGGGCTCGGAGCGCGGTCGTGGGCCGAGGCGGGAGGGGGGGGCTTGTGGCCCTGGGGCCACGGGGCGGACGCGGCGCTAATTGAATCAGCGCCGTTTGTTTAGGATCCTTGCGCGCGGGAATTCGCTGCGCCCCGCTCCCTATTCCACGCGTTCGTGCGACAATTGTGAGCAACTCGACAAAGACAAACACGGCCGGGGGACCTCTCTCCCTCTCTCCTCGCTCTCCTCGCTCCCCCCTCTCTCTCGCACGCACTCTCCGTTTCGTGAATATGCTGTAGTTTGGAAACACGCGGACAGACCAACACACACACGCGGGGACAGACACACGAAGTCGCACGGGAACGCCGCATAGACACTTTCACACACAACACGGAAGACGCACGCAGGGCAACAGGAACACGCTGGGCACGCGGAGAAACACGAACCCACAGACAAAGACACGAACACACACAGTGAGGGACACACAAATACAGACACACACATGGACAAACAACACGCAAAGACACACGCGGGCACACACAGACACACACGCGCAGACTCGGAGCCGGCACCGCGGAAGGCGATGACTCCACATTCCTCTCCCTTCCTCGCCTCCCTCTCCCCATCTCCCCCGCCTCCCTCTCCCCATCTCGTCCGCCTCTTCCCTGCCTTCATCTACTCCCTCCTTCCCACAGTCTCTCACTCTCTCGTCCACCACCGTCTCTCCCCTTCTCCCCGCTTCGCTCTCCCGACCCCGCGAGTCGCTGCCGGGCTCGGGGAACGAACAACGCCGTGAACTTGAGCGGGAAATGGGGGGGGGGGGCGTGGGATGGGGGCAGGGCTTGAGCGAGCTGCATTCAGGGGGTTTCCAAGCCCCCCTCGTTCCACCCCTACTACCCTCTCCAACTGCGATCGACAATCACCGCTCGTATCGAGACCGCCCGCCCCGTTAGCCCCCCTCACCCCCGCCCTCTCGAGACGGGGGTCGCGCGGAGAACAATAGCGGCCTGCGCGTAGCGGTGCCACCGTGACCCCGCGTTGCCGTGACCCCGCTTTGCCTCTACGTTACCCCAGCGTGACCATCGCCCCTGTGTTGCCTCCACCCCTGAGTTACGGGGTCACTCGGCCACGGGGTCGCGTTAAGGGCCGGCCTCGATCCGGGGTCGGCTATGGGGAGTGGCTGTGGTCGATTGGACTCCGGTGTGGTGGGGTGGAGTGTTGATATCGGTTGGGATTGACTGGCAGGGTCGAGTGTGGGCATT